ATATTCGATCGCGATGATCCATCCATCATTCCTCGCATCTTCTACTCGGATTCCTTTTCCCGTCACTGATAACTCATTAAAAGCAGCCATTTATTGACAGCTTGTCTTGATCATGCCCCCGCCTCAGCTGTTACCAGACATTGGCCAGATCATCCTCTTGGATAGTATCAGGCTCGCATTGTATTGTACTCTTTACGGTGAGCACCTATACTGTTGCCTCGCTACACATACTCAGCGATTCCCAGGCGCACAACTCATACTTGTGTGCATCTTTCTGACGATCCAGTAAGTATGACATGTGTTTCCTTCGTTGTGACTATGTCGCTGACATTTACAATGTAGAAGACCAAGATCGACCACGGGATCCTTGAAAGCGAGAAACATACTAGCGTTGTGCATAATCATTATACTGGCGCTATCAACAGTGCCAGTCGTGATCGTCACCATGCTAATCAGCATCGAAGGCAAACTTGCATATGGGGACCCCAGCATTGACGTGAATATGCTTGTATCGCTATCAAGCAGATTTCAGGCATGTATGGGGGTAATTCTGTGGGTAAATGTAAGTCGTATAATTGACATATGCCATTAGCCTCACTCTCATTCTCCACGAAAGTCATTCATCGCCGACACTGTGATGTTTTGGCGCGCTGCAGTACTGTGGAAGAACAAAAAGCGGATGGTTCTTCTTCCTTTCATCTTGCTAGTACTTACAGCAGGTGCGGTTCTCGGAGTATCACATTGCCAAGTACTAACTCATTTGTGTCTTTGTAGTCTCAGACGTCACACTTATCGGATGCTATGTCGGCTCTGGTGACAACAGATTACGGAAATGTGATCCAATTAGGGTCCTGACGTGGGTGCTCACTATTGGCACCAATATTGCTACCGTTGGATCGTTGGGGTACTACGCTTGGTGAGTTATTTTCTATGCGAGCATCACCCTGGCCAAATAATAGGCGACGACAGGTTACATCGTCAGGCTGTCCGTGGATATCTCAGCACCCACCATTCAAAACCAGAGAGGATCTTGGTGATTATTGTTGAAGGTGGTATAGTGTACACGATCAACCTAGTGCGTTGGATTTTGTTCCTTCCCTTTCACTAGCGATGATCTGGTTTGTGATATAGGTACTCCTAGGAGTAGTTACCATTGTTGCGGAATATGAAGCTACAACAACGAAGTCGTTTGGATGGTTTTGTGCGAGTAGTATACTCGAGGTTATCTCCTTCTGTCTGCAGGTGCATACTATTTTTCTCTTGTTATGAAGGGATACTGAACAAGAGACATATAGGACATGTATCCTGCGCTTTTACTCGTGATCATATTCATGGGAAGGTCAATCTGGGACTCTGATGGGGAGATTCTGACTCAGGAGAGAACTTCGAACGAGCGTGGGCCGAGCATTGGAAGCGGATGAAAAACAGCATTCAAACGTCAATGATAGAACACTGTCTTTCTTCATCAAGTAGTCGTTATGAGATATGCATCGCCTGAGTGGCGTTACATAGGGTGTTATTGATACGGGGCATTTTCCATTCAACTCAACAGCACGTCTACAGCTCCAGTCTCCCAACCTCAAACTGTACCGCAAAGTCATATCCTTTCCGTCTTTCCTGTGACACGATGGAGAAGTCTTGAGACCTTGAAGAAGTGCGGATTGTACGATACCTAGTTGAGCTCGAAGCCATCGCGATGCTGGAGATAGGGCGGTGTAACGGCAGGTGCAAACTATACATTCAATATATAGATCTACACTGTATGATGTTGACGTGGCATTCAAGCTAATTCTTCTACTTTCCACTTTCCATAAGGTGGAGGAAGTGTCTCATAGGTCGATGGAATGGGGCCATCATCAACACTATGCCGGACTTGCACTTCCGTTGGCATGTCTTCCAGGTCCACCCGCGATGGCAGATCCAGAAATCTTCGCTTTTTGGAGGCAGGTACATTGTGTGACGAATCCTGAATTGGGAACTGGGAGATAACCATGTTTTGATCCGTCTCAGTGACATGACCTCGGATTTTGAAGACAGCAAATATGCATATACTGCTGACTACAATAGCTCCGAGTATAGAGCCTAATATTATGCCCGCAAGTACACCGCTAGGAATGCCTGAGGGTGGCCCCTTACTTGACCTATCTCCTTGAATAATCTGCTGCTTCACCTGCCTTCCGTTGGATTGACAGTCCCGATAGTATCCTACTTCATTGAGTACAGACCAGCGAGTTGTACGATGACTTACGATTCAACCCATTCTCAGCTTCTTCCCTGAAATCACCATTCACAGAGACCGCACAGTTCCATGCAGTACCGAGGGAGTTGCTCATTTTGTCGGAGCACACGCAGTCGAGGATGCTTAGTGGCTGGCTTTTGCTGATACAGTCCTATCGTTACGTATCAGTTAATTCAAGCGGCATGAGGATCAAGATGAGTGAACAATGCAGACCTTCAGAATATTTACTGTGGCATATACTTGAGACACGCACTGCTGGACGTTGGAACCGGGGAGTGTGAAGGTTTTGTTTTGGGCAGAAGTGCGGGCTATGGTGGTTGTGTTTTAACTAGTAGGCCTGCGGAATATGAACAGAACATACCAAGCAAGGCAAAGATCACAAGGAAGGTGGTAGTCAATCTCGTCATCAAGACGAGAGAGGAATGGGGCCCTAAATGATGGCGCTGAAGTGTCCATAGCATTATACTATGCATATATGCTGTATTTCTCGCTTATGCTGCTGTAAACGTTCGAGACATGTTTCGCTGCATTTTGATGATTGATTGATACTGATGGTGCGCAGTCTCCAGGTATTAAATACTTCGAACTTGTCACAGCTATTTTATGCTGTATGTGGTGATACTAACAATGTCAACGCGAAACAAAATCATATCTCACTGCAGTCCGTACTAGACAAGTCACGGTGAACTGTTGAGAAATATTTAACAGCAAGGCCCTTTATATTTCAGGCTGTAAAGGTTCTGATGACAATAATTCGAATTCTTGGGGCCAAAGTATCCATCAACTTGACGTAATTTATCATGGTGAGTAATTAGGTATTCAAGTGCTGCGCGGAAGAACTCTGGAAATGGAGTGGTCTTCTGGCAGTGACCCCTCGAAAAATAGTACCAACTTCACTGTTTGCATTAAACGACCATGATGTATTTGTTCAAAACTTATACTCGCTCGATCATTTTGTCCTCTATCTCGACCACAAGAGAGTTCCTTTTTACCGATACTACGTTCTTCACCAAAGCTTCAATCGCCGACCAGCATTCCTGGGTTGTGAGAATCTGAGAGCGCTGGGTACACCCGAGTCCGAGCCCTGCGGTATCATGTTGGTAGCATGGCAGAACGGAATAAAAGGGACTGTAAATAGAGGCCTTAGTTACAATCCGAGAATCAATTCGAGAAATTGAATTTCCAAATTGTGGGCGCAGGTTTGAATTCAAGGATGTAATGAAAGATCGTTCGCAATCCTGAATGATTGGTTGATATTAGATAACACACTGATAATGTGGCGTGGGTGCCTTACAGTAAGTCCATCTCGATTCCTGCCTCCGTCATTATTACACTCTATAGTCATCGTCAGTTTCGGCGTTACGCCGTTGAATGCATGTTGAGGAAAAGCGGACTATGAACCTTGCGGGAAGTGTTGAAGGTGTCGAAGCGAGTGAATTCTCGGAGGACATGAATGAGTAGGTCCCGAACAGTGAGTGATTTTGCCCCGGGTTAAGCGATTTTATACCTTTGGAGTATGGCAATACGTAGCAGGAGCTCCTCAAAACGCCTGCTGTCAATAGCTAGAGCTACCCATTTCATGGTTCTGCGGCCGCGGCTAATGCCCCAACGATGGTTATTGACCATGGCTCGGATGTCGTTGGTGTACTTTTGGACATGGATATCAACTCGGGCAAGCAAAGAAACATCTAATACGTAAGCTCCCCACAAGTTTCGAACTTGCGACCTTCGATAAGCCAACTGCTGGGAAGCGTTGGGAAGTGCGTTGAATTCGGAATGCAGAAATGGAACGTGCCTGAGTGACGTCATGTAACCCCATGCCCTGATTCCCTTTCCAACTTTTTTTTCTTCGACCATGACTCCCAACTTTCGCTGATGTAGAGTCTTTTCTATCCACAGTCTAGAACATATTACCATGTCGCCTCTCCTAGCGGTTCTATGAGGATTGGAGGTACGTCTCCTCCATTTTGTTTATCTTGATGAAACCTCAACACCGTGAACGTTTCCAGAAGCCGGTACGTCTCTTTTGTGCCTCGCAAGGCTGGCTTTCTCATTGGTTGAATTAGGCGTACTCCTTTCCCTTCTCATCGACCAAACGACACATAGCCTACCTCCAGCCGGCTAGGGGAGGAACGGTCGCTGACGTGCAGGATGGAAGGTTAGACGAGAGCATGGGAAAAGAATATTGATAAAGAGATATTTCGCTTTGCCCTGAGTATCCCTCCATCTATTCTATCGAGGCAATCCACGCCCTTTTAAACGCCAACGCACCACTGTCCTCGCGCCACCTTGGCCCTCGTTCTGCACCTACATCTCCTTTTCCATCTACGCCGTTGTCGTTTGGGAAGAATAGCTAGCGGAACGGCTTGGGTTGGTTAGGGGGCTATATTGAGGAATGCTGCCAAATCACCCCTACATTCCTTCATCTCGGAGACACCCAACTTCACCCCACGAGGGTACCCCGCTTCTCCATCAACGCATTTATCCTCCAACCTCACCAACACCCCGTCCCCCTCGTCGTACGGCCGTAGTTTGAGAGGAATGGTTTGGGGTTCCCTCCACTACCCAATTACGAACAGAAACATTCCTTTTACCCAACTCCACCTATTTCTCATCATCAGCTTGGGATGAACCAAGGGAGATAACAAGCATAGTCATATACGGGCTCGTCATTAGGTATCGCCGCCCTTTTATTACACCTTTATATCATGCTCTGACCGTCGAATCTGCGCTCTAACGCACCGCAGACGAATCCTGCATAACACCGTTGGTGAAGCGGTCATCATGGTTGCCTTCTACCAGGGCACTTGATGGCTCTTGGATAGCAAGCGGCTCGGGTTCGATTCCCGAGCAGTGTAATCCTCCTGTCTTTGATGGTTTTTCACACTGTGACTACGTGACATCACAAGCGGAGAGCGGAAGACTACACCTATTGTTCTAGGGATAGGTATGCTTTTACTGACGTCGTGTTTTCCTCTTGGTATTGATCCCTCAGCATACAGACCTCGTGTTCTTGCTCGCCCGGACGCTTGCGTTGATACAACATAGTCTTGCCCCGTCTCTCGTCATATTAAAACGATTGTTGTGGTGGAGAAAGACGTGAACTTTATATCTTCCTTGTCACCTTTCGATCGCCACCATGATATGTCGATCTGTAACAGGAATGGACTGTTGAGATCTTCGTTCATCTGTTGCGTAGCTTAAGATTTTCATGACTCACTAGATTCCGAAACGCGAATACATGCGATATCTTCACATTTTCGTGTACTTATTGAGGGAATCGTCAACCTCTTACGTGCTCTCTTCGCGTTCCAGCTTACGCAAGCACGGCGATCTACTCCCACCCTGGACAAAAGTAGATTTGGATTCGGGGATGGGAAGGTGATAGTGTTCGTGAGTAACCTGCCCAGTGACTGGGATCACGGGCAAGGGGCAAGTTTCCATACATCCTTCGATGGAGTTTAACATACAAAAAAAAATCGCTCTGCGCCGCCGAACAATTAACGAACACGAGCCTCCCACTGTCTTGGTTCTTACAAACCCAGTCATCTGTCTGGAATGTGTGATTGGCGTCAAAGAACGGTGTTGCAGGGTGGGCTGGGACATTACGAGTACGTGTTTCCAGGCTCACAGCCTGTGCGTGTGCATACCATTACTTTGTTGGTCTATGTGATCCGACTATGATATTTGCAAAGGGATCATAAGCTACACTAGTATTGCAGAAGAAAACTCTAAAACAGAATCATCGGTGGTTGGAGATTTGTTGGAGGAATTAGAGGTTGTTGTAGAGTCGCTGCGTGTTATGGAGGTTCTTTTCGGCTTTACCCGAATTCAGTTGTAGCGGATACGAATGTTACGACTATGTTCGTACTGTATGGTAGGACGAGGGGGTGATGCGTTTACATTCCGGACAATGGGCGACAAGGTCAGCGTTACGCGTTACATGTACAAAAATAGGCGACAGATACTACCTTCTACGGGTTTCCATATCTACACCCACCGCTGAGCTTAAGTTTATCACTTTTTGTACGCTAAGCCACCCCACCTAAGAAATTGAGCATGCAATCCTTTTTTCTTTCATCCAGTACGCACGTATGACCAAGAAGAAAAATCCAGCTGCTGCCAAGCAGACTGGTGTACCACAGGCACTCAACTCCAAGCTTTTGCGTCTCTCAAATCTCTTGAAAAATCTTCCTTCACATCTTCCTTGAATCCACAGGATCTCTCAATTCCCATTTCGGCTCGATGAGGAGTATTCGATATATTTGGGGTTTGGCGGGAGCATTGAACGCAATTTAGAGGGATCTGTTTCAGTACAGCAGAGCTCTCTCGAACAATCCAGTTCGCTGGCACACTCAATCCAATTTCAGAGCTGTGGTCCTCGTTACAATCTATGGTAGATGTCCTGCGCCGAGGGCTAAGGAGGCACCAGAGTCTCATGTTTTTTTTTTCCTTTTCATTGAACGCTGGTATCGAGAGGATCTGTAGTGCTGCCAGCGTTGCGGCTGCGAAAATCCCTGCCGACAGTAAGCCAATGATTCATCTGATTCGGAAGCTTGAAGAAGTCAACAGCACAAGCTGAAAGGCTACAAAAAGTGAAGTCAAAAAGCCCTTCAGATGAATTTCTCCTAATCATGGTTGTCATGACGAGCTTAGAACATGCAAAATAATAGAAATATCTGACGCGAAGCACCCAAGGTTGTAGCTCTGATATGGGAAGTATCAGCGACTCAGGAAAGAACATCGAAATGATAGAGGCACCACGACTCACTCAAACCACAACACCATGCCGACCATCTCCACGACCATGCCACCCCTCTTCCTGCCTGCGCCACCACGTCACAGGAGTCTAATATCTAGACCAAGCAATATCCTGATCACTTCTTGTGCAAGAAGGTGTCTTCAACGCAGTTTCAAGGACTTTTGCCGAAAGGATCGACGGTTTGGAGAAATCGGCAGAAGAGGCTAGCAAAGAAGGTGCAGATTGAAGAGAGGAAAAAGAAGAGGACTCAAGAGCTGACTCGTTTTCTGCGCAGTTTTGCGCGACCGGCAGAAGATGCACATGATGCAACAGGAACCTTCGTCGGAGTCGCTGGTCGAAAAGTGAAGAAGTTGGCTACTGGGGACTTCGGACTGTAGTGGAAGGGATGTCGAGTCATTCTTCCATTTATCTGGCTGAAACAGTTCCCTGTCCGCATGGTTGGTTGTGGAAAAAGTGCAGAATGCAAAAACGGGCGGGGTAAAGCAGGTTCAAACTCACAAGGGTTGACTGGTCGCACGCCTTCTTGGTCACCCCATTCTCGAAATCGCACCTCGTGTTGGTTGGTTCACCAACCTCTTATTGTTAGCACCTCCATTCGACGCCAAAATCCAAAAATCTACAACCAACTCCACAAGGGGTACTGTGCCAAGTGGATAAACCAGAAGAGAAGAGACGCTGGAGGTCAAAGTTCCTGATGAAAGTCGAGATTGGGAGGATTCTAGCACGCACCGGTAGGACAGGTGTTTGGACACCGTACCCAGATCTGGTGGTCGGAGATCAGGAAAGACCTTGGCTGGAGTTGCGACCAAAGCGGCATGTCCAGTCGGTCGGACTTGGGGGCGAACAAATCCATGCTTGCGATCATCATGAAAAGCAGACTAAGCCTGATTCTCATTGCGAATGGGTTCAAGTGTTCAGAGAAGTTTGTGGGAGACTTTTTCGAGAGCGTGATGGCGTGGTCTCTCCGTCATGGTACACGTGCTGCTGCTCATGTGCCAGACAATGCCGAGCTTGTTATCGAAGAGTGTTTTTATCGACATGTTCATCTTAGTTTCTTGTACGACATTCCTCCTTCCCTCGATATCAACATGGATCAAACGGGAATCATCTCCCTTATGACCCACAACACAACATACCACGACAAAGGCGACAAGCAGGTTCCCATTCACGGAAAAGATGAGAAGCGGTCATACACTCTCTGTGTTGCAAACAAACCGCAGGTGGACAATTTCTTCCTTTTAGCAAGTCTGCGGCTGGTTCAACAAGAAGTCGTTGCCCGGGATGATAAGTCAGAAGGGATGGGACAAGGCAAGGAGGTATGGGTTTCACTTTGCCGTTTGCTGCGAGTTAAAAAGCAACAAGTCATTTAGTACAACTTAAAACAAATGAAGTAGGTGCGTCCTTGACATTCTTCACACTGAAACATTGCTAACGAATCTTTGTTCCAGTGGATGTTTCAACATATTCAAGCCCTATGTCGATGGAACATCCGTGCCATGACTTCCTGAGACCAGAAAGGCTATCCTTTGGCTTGACTGTTTATTCCAGTTCATCTAGCGCAGATTTCGGTATTTGTTCGGTCCAAAATTTCCCCAATGTCTTCTTGCTTTACGGCCAGCAACTGCAAAACATCAATTGCGCAGCTGCAGATGTAGGGAATCCATACGATCCTCAATCATCACATCAAGCAGGATTGACAGCAGTATCTTTTGAAACAAGTCATAACCTCCAGGTCGAGAACGGAATCACCCCTGACAAGATCCGCTTCACCACCTCGCTCGCCGCTCTTCGCAATGCCAGCGTGAAGCCTTCAGTAAATGTGTATGAATTCTTTCAAAGCTATGACGGTTCTCAAATTGTCTGCCGAGTAAGTGACCGACTCCATTTACATATCTCAGGCTGACTGACATCGCTTCAGGCATGGGAGAAGTGCAGTGTCAAAGGAGGATTCAATTTCTCCGGCGAGTGCATCACCAGCCGCCGGGCAAAAGATGCCTATCGACGATATCTCATGGAAAACCCCAAGTTCAAGCAGGAGATTATTGACAAGATTGGCTTTTTTCATGAACCTGCTCCGGCGAACTCTAATACAGCACAAGAGGCAAATCATGAGGATGATCTTGACGAAACAGTCGACGACGACTCTTCCGATGTACCCATAGCTACTATCGTTCAACGACACCTCGACGTTCAGCTCGCCGACCCTCCAAAGGCACGTTCCTGTGTCGATGATGAAGCTGTATTGGCCCGGGAGATGGCATGTTGTTCGGCGGGGTTGAACAAGAGGACATCACGCCTACAGTAGGCAGATGGTGCACTCAATATGCCAAGTTCTAGCGTCTCTACTTGATTTGTGAGTTGCTTTACGATCAGCTGTAAATAAAATTCCGATTTTGCCTTTCGGTCTACTTGCGACCACCCCACGTTTTAACGCGTTACATGCCTGAAAATAGGCGACGAAAAATTGGCCAGGCCGTTACGCGGTACCGTCGTACCTATACAGTTCGGAACAGTATGAAACTGACTATTCATGGCATGGCATTCTCCTGCTATTTTTTAGGGTGCTACATGGAATCGTGCACCTGGTTAAGCATCCTTGTACTCGACCTCGCGATTTTCATTTAACCCTAATTGTATCATTAATACAAATCTAATCGACCATTCACCAAAGCGCTTGAGCTCTCTTCCCCGAAA